GTCACCGTCCCCTATCCACTGCTTTCCCTCTGGTGTGTGTGTGTATGTGTGTCTGTGGGTACTGTGTGCAGTCTTAATGAATCGATCAAAAGATCATCTAACTGTGTGTTTCTATGTTTATATGTGTGTCTGTATATCTGCGTGTGTGCGTCGGTGCGTGGGTGTGTGTATGTGTCTGTCTTCGTTCTCCACGTCTTCTTTAACTACTTAGTTTAGTTTATTCATATTACTGATTAATCCAAAAATTTATATTTTGATTTTTACGTAAATACATATAAAGTATGCCATTACCGTCATCGCTTGGAATAATTACCATTAATAATGAAAACAATAACAGCGGGAAAGAAAGCGACGTATAATCGCTTATTTGTGTGTGTGTGTGTGTGTGTGTGCGCATGCGTATTCTCAGATCTAACGCTTTGATCATCTGTCCTGTCTTATTTTTGTATTTTGAAGAGAAAAAATATTGTGTCTATGTGTGTCTGTGTCTGTGTGCGTGTGTGCGGGCGGGCGGGCGTGCGTGCGTTTGTTTACACATATTGATGAGGCTAGTGGTGACGTTGTAATTAAACCTTTTTTTATTTTATTTTTTTTACGATTGTTCCCGTTGATGTTTTTGTCTGAATAGATGGCGCTACTATATACATGTATACATATATTTCGCGACTATTATTGATATAATAGACAGATAGATAGACAGACACACATACACACACGATATTCTATCGTCAGTGGTGGAATGACGGAATACGAAGCCTGACGAACCATGCAAATGGTTTTGGGGGTCCTATGACTCCGTCTAACCACCTTCTAACAACATTAAGAAGTTAAGACAATCTGCTTTTACACTTTGTTAACTCTTGCATCTGACCTGTTGCTCCCCCCGCCGTACCATCTTAGTCTTTCCTGGCCTTCTCAAAAAGGGTTATGTCATATCCTGAAGGGTATTCAGCGGTCGTTAGTAGAGGAAGTTGTGTGCCACAACCAAGTTAGCTCGTTACTATCCTAGCTGACAGACACCTAAACTCTCGTGTGAGAAATGATGGCTAAATCCATATTTTCTGTCTCTGAATACCCTCTCTATTCACTGCTCTACCCCCCCCCCCACCACCACCACCCGTCTTACATGTCATCTAGTAGGCCTTGAAGTCATAATTGAAAGATTATATGCTAACTAGTATTAAAAACTCAACGATACCCTATTTGGCCTTTCCTACCCCCTGATGTTGAGAATTCCACATAAGTGCTGGCCGACGCACTCCTAAGCCTCATCTGGCCAGTAGTTTTTTATTTGTTCCTTCACGTTCCCAGTGGAACAAAGGGCACCTTCAAGTTAGAGGCTTGAAGTTTCTGTAGCAGTAGTGTTCATTATTTTTACCAAATGGGGTTGCTAGTCTGCCTTACGCCCAACCTTCCTTCTTTGCCAGTTCTATTACTGGCTTAGTGAGCGAGGTAAAGGAGTACGTTTGTGGCTGGGGATCGAAACCCGGACCATGTGCATGGTCGGCGATCGTCCTAACCTCTGTGTCACTGATGCAAAGCTGCCGATAGTAAGCTCAGTAAAAAGAGTTAAGGTTGAATGGTATGAGGCTAGCAACTAAACGAGCCTTTTGTATCCGTGCTGAGATTTCGTCAGAGATCAACCCTCTGGCACTGGTGGATGCAACTTCCCAAATAAGTGAAGTGATGGTCAACACGCTCAACCACTACCACTTCACACTTCTGCCTGTCTTTAAGCCAGCTACGAGTAGTCAGTGTAGTCCAGTCGTGTAGCATCCGTCATCTTACATTTGACAGGAGCAAATCGGTGTATACTGCAAACGACTTATTTAAGATATTTATTCTAAGCAATCACGGGGATGCCTTACAATGTGACCATCATGCCACTAGGTGGCTTGCCATCACACTGGACTGTGAATTGTTGATATTAGCGAATTAGATATAATCTGAAGGAAGCCTTGCTTGACCTGGGGTTTCGTGCTAGTTGACACTCCGTGAGTCACCAGTCAGCAAGGCGTATTTGTAACCTTGAAGGAACAACTCATGTTGCTCCTGAGATTCGAACCGGCGCCACCCCAGTGTGTGCTGCAGTTGGAAGAGACGTTACCACTGAGCTAGCTATTTTGGCTCGCGACTTACCTGCTATAGAACTGTATTGGATATTTTTTTTAACTTGAATGAGAGAATTCAGTTTGAATCAAAGATATAAGGCTTAGACACATTACACTAGTTACTGACTAGTGCTCAGGTATCAGTCGTAAAGTCTCTGAATGCAGTACTGGTTGACCCGGGTTGGAATCTTATAAGGGATATGAGTTCCTTCAAGGTTACATATACACCTTGTTGTGATTGGCGAGTGCCAACTAGCACGAAATCCCCAGCTAAATCAAGGCTTCTTGTGGCCGATTGCCTCCAACCATCTAATAACACGTTTGGGTATCTAATCACATAAGTATTACCAAAGTACACACAAGGGCAATCAATCAACGAAACTGTGAAGTTACATCGATTGAGATGGTTAGGACATGTGTTACACATGCATATCTACTCATCGCCTTCCTCGACGGGTAGTGTTAGCTGACATAGAAGGAATGATTTTGGGAAAGAGTTAGCTAGTGGTAGTGGTCAAACCAAAACATGGCTTCATCAGTCAATGAAACCCACAATACTTAGTTTAAGCCAGCCAGCCAGTCACGTAGGAATGTGTTGACTGCCTAAATGGTTGAGGTCCTCGGGATGGTAAGAATCAATGAAGGCTGAAGACAATTGGTGATAGAACTCAAAATCCTCGTTCTCACTGGCGGCTGGCTCAGATGCATCCACTTCTTTTGACTTATAATACCCAATGAAACTATATTGTTCTTCGTTATTAGTATTCCTTTTGTCTCATATCTTTTTTTTATTTTTTTTTTTTTATTTTTGATTTACAGCTTGATTCCACACTGTATTTTTGGTACAAGTATGGAATTTTCAGCATGGATATCGGTAGCCCAAATTTTGCAGGCCGACCATAGATATCAGGTGTGCGTCGGCGGGGGTTCGAACCTCGGACCATGTGCATGGTCGGCGAGAGTCCTAACCACTGTGCCACTCTGCTTACTGTCTCTATTTTGCGTTTCTTTTTACTTTCTTCTCTTGCTTTGTATGCTACAACGAGAGAGAGAGAGAGAGTGTGTGTGTGTGTGTGTGGCAACTTGAACTGCTGTACATCGGTGCAAAGTTCTGTGTTGAAACCAGCCAGCCGCACAGGTGGGGCTTGGGGGGTGGGGTTGGCTTAAGTTTATGGCGCAAACACATCACTCGACATCGCAGTTTTTCAGATAATCTCCGTCATCTAATATGAATACATAACACTACTCAAATTTATAAAAAGGACTTGTTGTTTTAAAATTCAGACTGTGTGTACCAAACAAACTAACAAACAAAAGGCTTAGATACAGGATACTAGTTACTCACCACCACTTAATGTTTCGTTATCGATTAAAGATGTATAATATTTAATAGAAAATTATTATTATTACTGTATTATTATTGCTCCCTTGGGTTCCTAGTGGAACATAGGGCTTCAACTCCACGTCTCCATTTGATTCTGTCCTCTGCTGTACTTTTCGCCTGCATCCATGTTAGTCCATATTCTTTCAACTCCTCTTCACACGATCTCCTCCATGTCACCCTTGGACGTCCCACACGTCGCTTCCCTTTCGGGTTCCACTCGAGCAATGGCTTGACGCGCGATGTCACCCAGCGGTCTCCTCAGCGAGTGAGTGTCCAATCCATCTCCACTTTCTCCTTCATATTTGTTGGGCGATAGGTTCTTGCTTTGTTTGTTCCCATAGTTCCTTGTTGGTGATTCTTTCCGGCCATCTGATCTTCAGTATAGAGTGAAGACAGTTGTTAATAAAGGTCTGCAACAAGGTGTTGGAAATATTCTTTGTGACCCGCCAAGTTTCTGATCCGTATAGAAGATCTGACTGACTTTACGTTTGTATTGAAAATCCGAATTTTGTTGGTGATGCTGAGTGATGAAGATTTCCAGATTGATTTCAGGTTGATGAATGTATTTCTCGCCTTCCCGATTCTCGATTTGACATCCTCGTCCGTTCCTCCTCCTGTAGTTGAGACAATGCTCCCCAGCTAGATAAGTGAATGAAGTAACCTCTTTCAAATCCCTCCCGTTGATGGTGATTGGCGCTGGATGTCTCTGCTGTTGTTGTTGTTGTAGGCTGGTTGGTTGGTTATTCTCATCACCTCCGTCTTGTTCACTTATGTTCACCTGGAGTCCTGTCTTCGCCGGCTGCTTCTTCGACCAGTTTGTCGGTCGGTTTTCGCTTGTCAGTCTTCGATTTTGTGTGACATCAAATAACATAAATCATCCACGCGCGAAATCCAGGTCTTCTAGGTTCTTCACGCTGGTCGGTCCAGGATATCCCTGTTCCGTTTCTCGTTTCCCAGTCACTGTCTGACGCATAATCCAGTCGGTTCACCACAATTAGGAATATCATTGGTGATAGATAATAGGCAACCTTGTCTGACTCCTGTGTTTACTCCAAACGCCTTGCTGAGTTTTCCGTTGTGGATTGCTTGGCATGTACCGTTGTCGTACGAACATTCCAGGTACCCATCCTAACTTTTGCTTTCATCGAAAGAAGGCAGACACATCGGCTGACTGGCTTCCCGAAGGCTAGCTTTCACCAGCCTGCGTCATTTCACTTCCCCGATTCCAGCGAAAAGTAAGGCTATTGCTTATGTTTTTAGAATTTTTAATATATTTATTCGTTGAAGTTTCTGTAGCGATTTGGTTGTTTTACAGGGGTGGAGTTGCTAGCACCACGCCCCAACCCTCCCTCTTTATCCGGGCTTGGGACCGGCGAGAAAAAACTAGTCAGCTAGTATCTGGCGAGTTTCTTAATAGAAAATAATATTTAATAATTTTCTTTTGATTTCTTTCTTTTTATCTTCCTTGTACAATCTGCTTTTCTTTTTAAATATTTCATATTAAGAACGCTCTCTACCATCAAATGGTGATGCGATCTCATCGAAGCAAAGACGAACTCAACTCTTGGCACTTAGAAAAATGATACGCGTTATGGATAAGGAACATCATAAAATTCTTGCTGATTTAAAGGTAAGTGTGTGTGTGAGAGAGAGAGGGAGTGATGAGAACAATATTTTCTCTCTTATTATTGATTTTTGTCCTAATCTCTAATGAATTTTCGCTGACTAAATAACTAACTATCGAACTAGAGTCATAATGAGCTGATAATAGATACTTCATGTTGGGGAACTATTGGAAAACCATCAGGGAGTATTGGACAGCTATTTCCGTTGTCCTAGTGTTTGGGACTCTTGATCAGTGTGCACCCAGACCGCCAGAGGAACGTAAAGGAATATATATATACATATATATATATAGCGGAATTGTGGAAGGAGGGCAAGGTACCTGCGGACTGGAGGATAGACTACTTATCCAAACTGCCAAAGAAAGCGGACTTAAGTCAATGCAAGAACTGTAGCGACATTATACTCCTGTTCATCCCAAGCAAAAAAACCAAGGCGCATCATCCTGGAGAGAATCAAACACGCCAACCTGGATGAAAAACTTCGACGGGAACAGGCTGTATTCAGGAGAAATAAGTCATGTATGAATCAAATCACAACACTATGTATCATCATTGAACAGAACTTGGAATGGCGATCAGCTCTCTACCTCAATCAACTTCATCGACTTTGAAAAGGCCTTCTACAGCACAGCCGCGATCGAGAGTTGCTTTGGAAACAACTTCGCTACTACGGGATGCAGACAACAATTATACATCTCATCTAACAGTTGTACGATAATGATGCATTCCAAGTAATCCACAATGGGAAACTCACCAAATCCTTCGAATTGAAGATGGGAGCAAGACAAGCTGGCTGGCTGACTGCCTACTTTTTCGAATGATTAGTTTCCTGATTGCGGTAGACTGGATGATGCGACAGACTGACTGCGGTGTGCAGCGAGGAAACAGGCACAAAATAGACCCACACAAAAAAATAACAGGATCTGAACTTCGTTGATGATATATTTCTGATCTCCCATAAACTGGAAGATATGCAAGTGAAGAGCAACAAGTTGGCAGAAGAAGCATCCAGAGAAGATAGGACTTTCTTCAGGTGAACATAGAGAGAACAGAGATAGGTGATGAAGATTCCTGGCCAACACCAACAGCAAAAACAACAGGCAACAGTCAGCCAGGATAGATGGGAGAAATCTGAGAGAAGAGACCTCCTTCACCTACCTACCTGGGGAGCATCGTTTCAACTATACGCAGTAGAAACTGATAAAGATATCAAAGCGGATATCGTCGGGAAAGCAAGGACAGGTGACATCGATCAGAATGGATGACCATTGAATCGAGCCCCCTGTGAATTAGTAATGGTCTGTGAGCTTGCCTTGTGACCGGAAGGTCCTGAGTTCGAGCCCTAGCGGTGGATGCGTACTGCTGAAGAGTCTCAAGTACTAGGACAACGGAAACAGTTGTCCAGTACCCCTTGTTGGTTTTCAATGGTTCTCTAGCTGATATATGTATATATATATCGTTCGATTCCTGTACTTCCGCTTTCTGTCTCACAGTCTTGTTATCCCCACGCAGACATACATGCACACACGTAGACACACAAAATACTCTCAATCAAACTGTTTTGTTTTTCATTGTTCTCTCTTGATAATCCCCTCCTGATGTAAACTAATAATAACAATGCTACTACTACTACTAATAATAATAATAATAAGTAATCTCTTCATGTACTTACTATACTTTATATGCATAATTGAATCAATAATGTTATGGTAACGTGATCAATAAATAATTACATAAATAAATAAATAAATCAACAGAGATAAATGGGACTGTGATTTTTATCTATTTATTTATTCATCATATAATCTATCGACCATCTTGTTTGTTTATTTATTGTTTATTTTGGTTGATTCTATACACTCCGTCAGGCAGGCAGGCAGTCAGTCAGATGGTCAGACAGTCAGTTGGTCAGTTAGTTAGTTAGTCCAGTTAATCCAGTCAACTATTTGTTATATGACCTTGTAGGGATTGTATATATATATATATATATATATATATATATATATATATATATATATATATATATATATATATACTTTGTTTACTTTATCGCTTTCACTACTCTTACTGTTGTTGTTGTCGTCAGTTTATGATTTATGGGTTGTTTTATTTTATCGACACTTAACCGCTAGTGAGTGAGTGAGTGACTGTCTGACTGGCTGGCTGCAAAACGAAGTTGCCTGGAGCTGTTGTATCAGCACCAACGGACTGATTGGCGACGAAATCTTACCACGGATCCAAAAAGCTCGAGCTGCTTTCGCTAACTGACACCATTTCTGGCGTAGGCGTGACATCCGGCCATCAACCAAGGGATGTGTGTATTGCTCACCAGTTTGCTCCGTCCTTCTCTATGGCTCTGAAACATGGCCAATACGCGTTGAAGACATGAAAAGGTTGACTGCTTTCGATCATAGATGTCTACGATCTCTTTCTCACGTTAGGTGGTGGTATAATAAGGTAAGTAATATTGACGTTAGGCGTATAGTGTTGGGCAAAGAGGGAAAATCAATCGACAAGGCTATAAAGTTACATAGACTAAGATGGCTAGGTGACGTGGTGCGCATGCCTAACCACCGCCTCCCCCCCCCCCAACGGGCATTACTAGCTGATATAGGTTCAGGTTGGAAAAGAGTAAGCGGTGGTGGCCAAACAAAAACATGGCCTCATCAATCCATGAAATCCTTGACAGTTAAACTGAGTCAGGTAGGCAGGGAGGTGCAGACTTCCGGGTTGGGGCCCTCGGGACTGACTCTAAGAATCAATGACTGGAGACATTAGATGACATGGCTCAAAATCGTTGTCAGTGGCCAGCGCAGATGTATTCAGTCTCTGTAATCTTTCATATTCCTTTCTACCATTACCCATTCTGTTTCACTCTTATACTTGTCAAGCTCTATTGATTCTCTTCACTCATCTTCTTGTCTACCTTTGTGTGTACTATTTGGAACGTAGCAACTCGGACTGGTTGATATGTATCCACATATATATTTATGTGTGTGTGCATGTTGGTCTCTCTTTCTGTTTGCTCGGTTAGTCTGTGACCACTTCACTTGTATGAACCTGTCTCCTTTAACAATGTATATTCCATATTATATATAATATAATATGAGTGTTTGTTGACAGTCCGTTGCTTGGTGACATATATCCATATATGTTTGTTGGCATGTCTGCTATATTCGCTATGTATAATTGGATCGACACTCCATTATAATTAGCCATTCATGTTAAGACTGTCTAATGAATTTTCCCACGCTTTGTCTGAATTATTTATATATATTCGCATTCACAATTTGTGTGAACTACTTTACTTTACAACTACTTGACTTACTTACCACTTTGGTGTGAGACCATTTTATTTTCGTCTCCTTGTGTTTGGACAATAGAAGTATCATCGCAAACCTAGTGGTCTTCTGATTTCCGCCCTCTCGCGTCAGGACTATTAGTTTCTCGGCCAGTCCATAACAATAATTTAGCGACGAGTACATAACACTGGTGCACTTCGGTGCCAAGTTCTATGTTGAATCCAGACAGACAGGAGGTGTTTCCACTGAGAAGTGATGGGATCCCACCGCTGAAGACAAAATATTCGCCAGCGATGAAATTGGCTAGCTAGTGTACCAGTCACACTAAAAATGATCACAAATTGGTAGAAATTAGAATTGATTCATGGGCGGCTAGTCATTTGAAATCGACTACCATCATCCAGTAGTAGTGACTGAAAAGTAGGTGTGGACAAGTTAATTTGACTTGTAATCAGGAGGTGTCCTCGGTTTGAATTGAAACAATGTTGCCCGAATATAAGTGAATTCATAAGTGACCTTGTTCATGGAAGTATGTGTTCACTGATTAAAACTGCCCATTAAAATTGTTTTCAAAAGAATGGAAACTGAACAAAGAGAGTACTCTTTTCGATAACCCTCTCATCATCAGGCTCTACAGTTATATATACATCCGTTATAGTAAATGAATGAATGAATTAGTGTTATGAACAACATTAACGTTGCTGTTTAGATAACATCGAATCAATAATAATAACATCAATGGATTACAGTTCAGTAGCATCAACATAAAATAAGCTGAATGTTAGAAAAATTAGGAAAGATAATATTACAAATTCATGAATTTATAATCTCTACTGAAGGCTGATCTGGGCAGTGGTAGTGACTAAACTTGCTTCTTTTGCACACAGAACACTGGTTGTTTCACGCGAATCACGATAGCCTCTGGTGTTTGGAGGATGAGGTGCATCTATGATTTTGGCAGTTTATTAGGCACCCGGTAGATGACAGAGAAGGATTCTTCAACCCTGCCTGACTTTGTATCCAATATCGAACTGTTGATGATGGTTTTCACTACACCTTTACTTAGGCATACTGGGAGGCCTTCTCGAGAGAGCACGAGAAATCAAGTTCCTAGAGCAATGGCCAATATAACTCGCTCTACCACAAGCGCAGTTGATTTGGTAGATACAATTTGAAGTGGCTAGTCTAGTCCAGGTATTTCATCTTTCAGTCGAGGAATCACTATTGGTCGTGTAGAGAATAAGACGTGTAGTTCGCCAGCATTAAAAGTTCTTTGAACTGATTTTCTTAATTTCATTGGAATCATCTCAATTGATATATCGCCCTTGAATTGTAGACGTGTATAAAGTGGCTTCTTGTTTACAGATAGTGAGTAGTCCTTTTCCGCTTTCTTTGTCATGTGTTTCTTGATAAATTTGTCGGGATAGCTATTTTCAATCAATCAAAGTATCATATACAATGCTTAATTCATCTTCAATTACTTCTTCTGAGCATATAGCTGTAACTAACCGTGTGTCTGAGGGTCTTTACTAAATTTCTTTTGTACTTGAGAGGAACGAATCTGTGAAAATGTGTGTATATTGTAGTATCCAAGTACTTTTCCTATGCAAATTTCTTTTTATACTACTGTCTGGTTTTGTTGTAATGAGGACATCCAGGAAGATAATTCTGTTTTAGGATTCTTATTCGCACTTGAATTTCATAGCTGAATGTAGTTTATTGAATTCAGTAATTATTGTACTCCTATCAGAACCATTATCACAAAGAATGAAGGTATCATCCATATAGCGGCAATAAAATGAGAGCTTTACTGATAAGGTTGTTCATAGGTCCATTTTCTACGAAGTTATCACTCTGCAGTACTGATACCACTGCACTACATACACACTTGTGTATTCTACGTTTCAAATGCCGTTTCAGGACTTCGGTGTGACACGTCATGATAATTTTCATTAAAGTTAACTTCTACTTCACGAAGAAGGTGTACACCATAAACTAAAACAAAAAACAGCGGTATGCCTTCTCAAAGAGATTTCCTAATTCGTTAGTCTTCACACCTTCAATAGAGTCGGTGTAGCTTTGTAAATGCACCACACCTCCATATCTATCTACATATTTTCCCCTCTTCCAATAATCAGCCTGTTGTCTAACCAAGCAGCTAAATACTTGATTTGGATGAAATTCGCTATATGTGATTGGTGTAGAGTGGAAGACATGAAAAGATTAGCTGTCTTCGATCATAGATGTCTGCCTTATATCTCCCGGTATAATAAGGTGAGCAATACTGAGGTTAGTTGTCGAGTGCCAGGTGAGGAGGGAGGGGAAATCAATCGACGAGGCTGTGAAATTACATCGACTGAGATGATTAGGACATGTATTACGTATGTCTAGTCATCGCCTTCCTCGACGGACAATGTTAGCTGATATAGGGTCAGGCTGGAAAAGAGCTAGCGGCGGTCAAACCCAAACACGACACCAGTCAATGAAATCCACACTGGCTGGTTGGGGTCCTCGGGACTGTAAACACCAATGAAGGCTGGAGACAATTGGTGATATGACTCAAAATCGTTCTCAATGGCTTTTGCAGTTGCATCCACTCCTTGTGACTTATGATTTCCAATGAAACTGCTTTGTTCTTCGTTATTACTAATCCTTTGTCTCACACCTCTGTTTACTGTCTCTGTTATGCATTTCTTGTACTTTCTTCTCTTGATTTGTGTGCTACGTGGGGGGGGGGGAGTGTGGCGACTTGAACTTCTGCACTTCAGTGCAAAGTTCTATGTCGAAAACAGACAGACGGACAGATGTGATTGGTGTGCAGCATCCATAATTCCGTCTGTATACTATGGATTCATGTGATTGTGATTGCTCAGGGTTATTGATCCCTTTGTTAGGTGTAGTCTCGTTTTGGAGTGCTATGCGCTTAGGGTTACTGGTATCACTTATGCAGAAGTGAAATTAATAAACTTTAACAGTAGTTATTATTATTATTTTTTGAAGTATGCTTTTATTTATTTTTTTTTGGTTACTTGATTTCTTTCTGTACTTCAGGTTGTCAGATCCGATCTTCGATTTCCTGAATTATATGTGGAAATGTTTCAGTTGGCCGATAGTGCCTCAGCATTATTCTCTGCTTCTGCTCAAGCTGTTACATTAGCATGCTCCGGTGCTCTACAATCCTCGTTAGCCTCCTTTCAAGGTGGTGGTTGTCAGTTGACGACATCAACAGCCACATTGGCGTCAGCGTCATTATCCTCCGGTTCCTCCTCGGCGTCGTCGTCATCATCTTCATCATCATCGTCATCCTCCTCCTCCTCATTTCACAGTGCTGTATGTGATGTCAATACAGGCAAAACAAACGAATCAGCGCTGGCGGTGGTAACCAGTGGAGATTTTGTCCCATCCACTGATCGTTGGGATGCAAGTCGACTGGCTTTATCTGTTCCTGCTGCTGCTGCTTCTGTTGTTGCCGCTGTTGCCGCAGTCGCTGCAGCCGAAGCGACGCTATGCCAAGGCAATCACCATCAACACCATCAATCATTGTCCTCAGGATCTTCTGCATTTTCACACTTCCCTACAACTAATCTAGTTGGTGTCGGTGGTGCTGGTGCTGGTGCTAGTAGTAGTAGTGGGCTATCGAATTGTCTTAATTCATGTCAGAAACGACCTAAAAATGATGGAAACCATCAGTTGACTAATGCTACAAACTTTATAACAACTCCGCCATCGTTATTCTTCACTAGCCATCAACCGCCTCATCCGCCCCCACCGCCGCCATCATCGTCATCATCATCTTGATTCTACTTACCGTCGCCTCTTCCCTTAACCTCACTCCGGTATACCCAACAATTACCCATTCACAATAGGCTACCTACATAAGCTACCCTCTACCTACCTACTTATCTTTCTTCACCTTATTATTATTATTACTATTATTGTATAATTGATAACACAGCAGTTAATGCGCCAATCAGGTTTTATTTGATAATAATATTAATTTATTTTGAGTCTGTTTGTGCGTGTGTGTGTGAGAGAGAGAGTGTGTGCGTGTGTGTAGCGTTTTAAGCTGTCCTGTCCTGTCCTTCTAACTCCTCTTATTTATTTACCAAGACTATGACTACTAAATACGCTACTACTTTTAGTAACATTAATAGTATACTCCTACTTATAGTAACAATATTGTCTTAGGCCATAATTTGTGCATTCATAATAATATTTGATTCTTCCGGTAACTCTCACTCTCCCCCCCCCCCGCGCGCCACTATTTTTCTCGCCGCCGCTTTTATTAGGTTCGTTATATCACCTGCTCCCTCCCTCTGTCTCTCGGTCTGTCTGTCTGTCTGTCTATCATCTTCAAGCTGTCAGTCGTACATACATCAGCGTTGATCTTCCTTTACCCCCCTTTTTCATTTATTTCTCCTTTGTGCTTTTCAATGCGAAATCAGGCAAACTTTTATCCTCATAGAATGTTTGTGTTATTTTTTCTTGCTTATTTTCTTTTTAAGATGTAAACTTTTACTTTGAATAAGTGTATTTGGTGTTTTATTTTTTACTGACTATAGTTGTTAACACTGCTCCTCTGTATGTGTCCCAGTGAGTGTTTGTGTGTTGTCTTTGTGTCGTTGTTCTGCGCCATCCCACCTACCCACCCACCCCGCCGTATCCTAACTGCGAACTCTCTCTCTCTCTGTCTAACCGTGTCTCTGTTCCTGTGTCTCTCAGGTTTCACTAACTCTTTATTTCATTCATTTCATTACTTACATACTTATTAATTTCTTTATTGTTATTATTAATATTATTTGTAAGCGCCCTAATTTATACCATGGTGAATTCAATTTTCAATTGTTTTTGGTTTGACACGTTTTAGCGCCACCTTTGAAAATTACTACAAATATTGTATTTTAAAAAAATGATCATGTGAAGTGTCTGTGTGCGTGTGTATGTGTGAGGTTTCTATTTGGTAAATATTGTCTTCTCTATGAGTGTTATCATTGTGTGTGTTAGTGCGTGCATGTTTGTGTATTCCTCGTGCTTCTCTTTTGTTTGGAATTTTTTTTGCTTTCCATTTATATTTTTTGATTTTTTAATTTTACTTTGTTTTTACTTGTTGTCGTCCGTCATCTTTGACTCGATTCTCCTAGTTTTATGCATTCATTCATTCTCTTCTGGACTGTTTTATTTTTAAAAATTTTGCTTGATACTTTGTTTTAATTTGTTATATTTAAATGCGTATGTGTTATCGCGCGGATGTGAGCGAGCGCGCGCGCGTATTTCAAATATTCTCTTTTTTTTAATTATTGATTATTGATTAATAATTAAGCTGTGTGTTTTAATATTATCATAACTCAGGGAGAAATGAATTTAAGCTACCCTTTAACTTCTTACCTCTATTAAAATAATAATAATAATATTATTATTATTTGTGTATTCAAATAATTTTTTTTCAAATAACCTTTATTTCTATTGTTATTGTACATTGAACATTCATTTGTACTACTTATGCTACTACTTTTGCTTATATATTGTATAATTAACTGCAGGAAAAGTTTTAACATCGCCTTGAATTTTGACCGGCTAACAACACCGCATTGCTGCTTTTTGTGTCTTCGATTTCTATCCTTATCTCATGGAGTATTTTCTGTTGGTTTAATAGAGTTATGACTTGATCTACAAGACAAAAACAACAATAAAAACAACAACAACAGAAAAGAATTTTGTTTATCCGTCAAAATTATTTCCCCAAACATACAAACACACCCACCATGGCAATTATTCACGCTGACGAAATGTAGTTCCCCGCCTCCAGTCTCCTGAATTAATAGATAGACAGACAGACTCACACACACACACACACCTCATTGTAGAAACATACCAATTGAAGCGAAAATGTACCTCATCTGTTGATAATATTTATAATTTCCTCATTGAGTGGTGTATACAGCCAATTTTGGGAGGAGGGGGGCAATGGATGACTGCAGCTGGAGTAGGGTGGGGGTGTTTTATCCTACTGTCTGATTCTTATTCAAATCAACATGTTTTAGTGTTAGGCATGTGTAGCTGGAAGTACGTTTCTTTTTGTTTTCCTAAGTTTCCCCCCCCTTGTGAATTTCGTCTCGATGTGTATGTGTGCGACTGTTCATGCATGCTTGCTCTATTATTATTATTATTATTATCATTATTAGTCTTGTTGTTCTCTTACGTAGGCGATTATTTTGCATTCTTTTGTCTACACCTTCGTGTGTGGGTGTGGGTGAGTGAGTGAGCGAGTGTTCGAATATCTTGACTACTTAAATCTTATTCCCCCTTTGTACTGTTATTATTATTACTATTATTTATTATCTGATCCAGTCCTGTGTGTATTGTAGTGTCGCCGACGTTCGTCGCTGCCTGTCGTGTGTCTTTTCTATCCTCAGTGATTGTCTCAGGTGTATTGAAGTCCGCTTGGATGGAGCTGCTTGCTTCTACTACTACTGTACCATGTACTTCCCCGTAAACCGCACTTGTGTATGTGTGCATCAGTGTGCTCAGGCATATGTGCATCTCTCTCTCTCTCTGTGTATGTGTGTAATTTTTTCAAATGTTCTTACTGTTTTTCACCGAATTTTATTTCTTTATTTATTTTGCCTGCTTTCCATTTTATTGTTATTACTACTATTGAAATTTATGCGTGAAATTTCCGGAGTTTTGTAATTTTTTTTGTTTTGGCTTCCATTGCCGAAGACTTCTGTGTGTGTGCGTGTGTGCGTTTGTATCTACGGCAGGGAATCATCGACATCCTTATAATGACGATGATCTATCTTGTATATATTAATTCTCCTTATGTCCTTCTATGAACTACCTCATTACAACTTTGAATTTGTTCTTTTGGGAGGGTTTCTTTTTGTGTTTCACGTGTTACGTAACAAATACACACACACATGCACGCACACACACATACACTCACTCAAATACAAGCGGTGTTTTGTTTTCTTCGTGGATTGAATGTGTTGAATGAATGTTTCTCTCCTCCCCCCACCCACCCTTGCTCGTATCGATCGATCCGTCAGTCGGTTGGTTGGTCCAGTTGGTTATCTATACTTGATCGATTGGCGGTGGGGAGGGGGGGGGTTGTGGGCAGGGAGTGATGTTTTGCGATTTTCTTTTGTTGTGGTTAAGCGTTAGTCTCCATAGTCTGTTTATATGTTTGTTTGTTCTATATATTCTCTCTCTTTCTCTCAGTGTCTCTATCATGTCAGGGTGTGGACTAATAAAAACAGTTTTCAGAAATACTAACTACTATAATGCCATAACTACTTTGACGATTGTTCTCTGTGTGTTATAGCGCCATTTTTATATTTGGACAAAAAAGACGCCGTTTTTGACAACATGATCTCTGCATACATACCATTATTATTATTATTATTATTGTGGGTTTTGTTCAATGTAACTTGACTATTTACACCTTCGTCTCCTTTGTACCCTACCTATTTGTTTGCTTGCCCACACTCCACGCCTTCTTTTGTTTGTCAATTGGTGCAATGTTCAGTGTTAACATTAATATTATTGATTTTTCATCTTATTGATTATTAATACTATTGTTATTATTGTGAGTATTATCAGCTTTGAAAGATCTCTTTGACCCCAAAAACCTCTGCTTATATTTTTTTCATGAGTACAATACGCTCAAAAGTTGATTTTATTGACTGTAGCGCCTTTTAAATTATTATTATTTCTGTTATTATATCAATATGTTTAATATAAATTTGTCAAATAATATCTTATATATAACTTATTTGTTTATTTATTGATTTATTGATCGACTAATCGATTGATTGATTCATCGATTTATCGATTAATTTGTTTACTTATGGGGATGAATATATTGTCCTTCCCCCTTCTTGTTGTTTTTTTCACGATTATTCCTTGTCAATTCTTTCTGTGTATGTGTGTGCATACATGCACTCACGTACTCACTGACATGCACAGACACACACGCACACACATAGAGAGAGAGAGAGGGATAGATGGACAGAGGAATGTGTGCGCCCTAAATGATGATGATGACTTGACTATGCTTTAGAAACACACAAAATGATCATTTAAAAAAATCATAGTTCCTATTCCTAATACTTTGCTTATATTCTAATAACAGCCTACCTTATGCCTACCTATCTACCTATTGTTTTTTTTTTTAATTTTTATGCGCCAATCACACACTATTTACTGTCTGTTTTCACTATTGTTTACACTTTTCATTGTGTTATATTTGTTGATTTATTGATTTGATTTGAATTAAATTGCTTTATTTGTCTGTTTTGTCTATTGATCTCTCCTCCTCCCCTCGCGCCCCCCGCCACTGCCACGCTGTCGTGCTCTTTTGATTTTCCATTCTGTTAACACCTTTCCTTTCTCCAACCTACAATGCATACATACAGGTATTTGTGTGTTTGCGTGGGTGGGTGGGTGTAGTCTATCTATTTATATTTATAATATATATATGTGTATTCATCACTGACATTTGCACTGGGACACCCTACATACACACACACGCATACACAACCTCCAACTGTCCCCCCGAATACACACACACACACCCAGGGTACCAACCTATACTAACAACTCTAGTGTAGATTTTTTTTTAAAACTCTGTATACATGCACAAACACAAGTATTGCGCCATTCTAATTATTATTAATATTATTATTACTATTTGTTATTTAATATGACATTTATCATCTCTCAGGTATATGCAATATCACCGGTTATACAATTTTATTCAATTTTTTTGTTTTGTTTTGCGTTTTTATTGTTGCTAGTTTTTTGTCTTCTTTCTCTCTCTGTGTCTCTCTCTCTCCCTCTCGCTGTCTCCCCGTCGTTCAGCCTTCTTTCTTGTAACTTTATTTGTTTGTGTGTATGTGTGCGCGGGCGTGGGAGTGTGCGTCTGTGTGTGCACGCGCACTTCTCGTCTACCTTCGTTCAATTCATTATTCTCATCATCGCTAATTCGTTTCACATCTTTTTCTTTTGTTTTTTAATAAATGTATACTGTCGCTGAAATCAAATATTTGAGTAGTATGTACTTATGATAGTAGTGACTGAGAATTAGAAAATTTGCAAAAAATCATTATCCATGAGTAAAATAAAATTTTAATATACAAATATCCCACTTCTGTTTCTCTCTGTTGTTATTGTTGTTCTTGATGATGATGGTGTCTGAGTTTCCCGTTCTTTTGTTTGTTCGTTTGTTTGTTCCTATCCTCTCGTTCTCTTTTTCTCTGCTTTTTCCACCCACC